TAAACACATAAATATTGGTACAATGAAGCACCAGATATATATGCGCCTCACAAATCTCATTCGATTTGTGGGAGGGCTGTGATACTGCCCAGGTGCCCAAACTGAAACAGGTGGTTTTCTTAGGGGGTCACACCCGGAGCCTTTGACTTAAAGGTCTGATCCACAAGGCAGTGAAGTATCGTGAGGAGATGCAGTCCCATGGTAGTCGGTGACCAACAATTGATTCATACACCACTTGTTCCTTCAGGATACTGGAGCCCATGTGCACCATTGGTTTGGAATCAGGGTTTTCCAACTACCCTAGGTGGACTTTCCGTGTCCACCAACACGTTTAAAGCACCGGACATTCGCTTTACGTCCTCTCACTTTCGTGAACAACACCCCTGTCACAAGAAGGCAATGAGTAGGACTTCCCTGGCAGAGGCTATATACGCGTGGCCATGTGAGAGCATTTCGAGAGGGAGAGTAGACTCTCCCCACTCTCGGCCGTACCAGGGCATTTGGGGGCGATAATGTAATCTTAGAAATTTATGTTGAATGAAAATTGACAGTTTGTTAATGGTGAGTCTTAAGAGGATTAGTGAGCTTTGTTAAACATATTGATCCTGAACACGTTAATGTTGTGGTCTGTCGGTGTTAAAAACAATCTTTGTAACATAAATTAGAAGGTGAATTCATTGAACGGTAAAATGTTAAGCAAAACTAACATCTCATCAATTACTATAAAAATTATGGCCTATCTTTAAGTGTTCCACATATAAAAAGATTATGGAGAAAACAATGAGTTAAATAAATTGCCCGACTTGAATTAAATTAAATCTTCGAACCCTCAGTCAGTCTGACTGACTGACTTCGAACCCTCAAAATACTAAACAAACTATCTTTTACATAAATTAGTGAAATCCAGTACACAGAATCACTGAAATGTAATATACATAACTCTTTAACAAAAATGAAATAATCTTATTCTAAGTTTACTAACGATATAAACTACTTTGTAAGTGAATTTTTAAGATTATGGACTAAATCTGCTACAATCTATCAGTGAAATTAAATCACTGCCACCGTTTGTACGCTACATCGAGGATTAACTTTCTACCAATACTTAAACCACTGTATAGATCTCACTTTACTAACGAAACTATACGAATATTAGATGTTTGATCATTGTAATTACTTAGCATACTTACTGAAATTCCGTTCTTGCAACTATTTTACAATTACATCATACCTGACCAATATGATCTAACCAAATCAGTAAGCCATAAAAGAAGCTAGCACAAATATGGTGACAGGGATATCATAGTAATTTTTGCTGCTATTGTTCCGTGCTCACTGTTTTTTTTCTTCCCTCTAATGGTAGATAGTTGTAATTTTCTTAGAGCAGCACCAAAATAGCCTTTGCATTCACTACTTATCCTCAAAGATGACATCCCAATCCACCTAATACGAGAATACTGGTTCCCAATTTCTGTCTCATAGTATTCCAATTCTTGTGACAAATGTCCTTTTAAAACAATTTGTGGATGCCTATTCAAAAGATTTCTCTGTACCAGCCAGATCACACCCTGTAAATAGTAATGGATTCTATAATTAATTTTACGATAATTATCTGCTTATTGAAAGTGTTATTCAGTCAAATTAACATTCATTTATTCAGTACAGTGATAATCTAATAGAAATCGATTAAAATATAAATGGAAGACATGTAGAGTCACTTGACACACCACCACCCAGTTAGAAAAAATGTCAGGGGTTAAATGTTATATTTGTATAGAGAACAAAAAGAATGTTTATAGAAGATAAACAACTTACTGCAACTGCGCTATGATAACTAGTTCCACAGCCAATAAATATGAGTCGACGGCAACGACGTATTGCACTTAGATGTTCAGCAAGACCACCTAATTTCACGGTATTCATATCGAATTTTATTCGACCTCTCATTGTATTTAACACTGATTCTGGTTGTTCGAAAATTTCTTTTTGCATAAAATAATCATAATTACCTGGGAATTTAAACAAGAGAAGTGATGGATAATTGTTCCGATCAGATAACGAATTTGATCATTTTACATTGAAAACAGCAATAAGCTAAATTAAAATTGAGTATTGAAAACTAAGTGAGCGATAATATCACGGTCATGTAAACATTTGTAGTTTTATTAATTTCTATGGATCCACTTTTGAGGAGTATCTCATGAAAGAGTTTGTGTTATCACCAATTCAAAGCAATTAAATAGATAAGAAAGAGGTTGATCACAATGTTACTTCTCATAAGTCTGTTAATAGAAAAAATGTATGACATTAGATTTTTTCCTGAGACTTAACAACAACAACAACAGTGGGAACAATCGGATGTGTTCCGGGACAAAATCTGAAGCAGATGTGAAGGCGCGGATCGGCAAAGCAAAAGCAGCATATTTACAACTGAAGAATACTGGAACTCAAAACAAATGTCAACCAACACCAAGGTCAGAATTTTCAATACACATGTCAAGACAGTTCAACTGTATGGAACGGAAACCTGGAGAACTAAGAAAGTCATCATTCAGAAGATAAAAGTGTTTATTAACAGTTGTCTACGCAAAATATTTCGGATCCGTTGGTCAAACACAATCAGCAACATTCTACTGTGGGAGAAAACAAACCAGATTCCAGCGGATGAAGAAATCAGGAAGAAGCTCTGGAAGTGGAAGGGACACACATTGAGGAAAGCAGCCAACTGTGTCTCAAGGCAGGCCCTCGCTTGAAATTCTCAAGGCCAAAGGAGAAGAGGAAGACCAAAAAACATATTACACCGAGAAATGGAAACAGATATGAGAAAAATGAACAACAACTGGATAGAACTAGAAAGGAAGGCCCAGGACATAGTAGGTAGGAGAATGCTAGTCGGCGACCTATGCTCCATTGGGAGTAACAGGAGTAAGTAAGTAAGTTAAAAAGTTTATTGACCGATTTGCCCCCCCCCAAAAAAACTCCATCACACTACCAAGCAAAACGACTCTAGTTAATTTAGTTTACCTTTCATTATTTGTTGCAATTCCATTTGTAAAGTAACAACTTCACGTGTCGCTGATGCACTTCTTGATAAACGATGAATTGTCAGTTGACCATTACGAACAGCCGCTACATCATCATCTTCTAGAAAAATAACTTTGTCAGTATGTTCAATTAATGCACTAGAAAAAGTAGTGGATATAAGAATAAATAAATAAAGGAATTTAATAGTTATTAAATTTTCATTAATTATAATAAATTAAGAATTACTATTGGCGGCCTGTTTAAACATCTGGGCTACCTGTTCCTGTCATCTAGATATTTCAACAAGTTATCTAATTTCGTTTGTTTTAATACATCATTATGCCTATTAATCGGACAACCTATTCAGGTGCATTTCTGAAAAGTGTAAGACCTTTTGCTGTAAAGGTTACAGAAAGCTTAATCAGAGATATCATGGTTGCTGGCAATATGCAGCGAGAAGAATGTACATTATCCAGATGTCGATTGACTGGGCTGCTAACTTCTAGCTGGTGATCACTCAATATTTATCGTCAGGAAGGACGAAGAAATAAGAAACGGAAACTTGTTGAAATACTTTGTGCTGAGAATTCTATATTGTATCAAAAATATAATAATAATAATAATATTTAAAACATACACCGATAATCAGGGGAAGCGAGAGAAAAAAAAGTTAAGATTTAGTATAACAAATAAATTATTATTATTAGCATTATTACATCGTAAATTATAGAATAAACGTTATCATTAAAATGATGTGAATCTTCAAGACAGACAGAGTGAAAGACAGATAAAAGAGAAAAAATTTAAAAACGAAATAGTCCATTTTCATCAAATGTAACCTGTATATTCATTCATTCATATTCATTTCATTATGGTATTTTGATGTTAATTCTTGGGTGTTTCATTGATCATCTTCGTTTATATCGTATTCTTCCCGTTCTTCTACGATTAGTACATTTGAGGATATAAGACATTTTGAAAAATATGGCTGTACGAAGTTACATTATGCATATTTAGATAGTTAGAGAGTCGGTGTGAGAAACGACGTCCTTCCGTCATCGCCACCTATGCACCGACATACTGTATTCCGAATGTGATCAAAGATGAGTTTTACCACCAATTTACTGTCCTTCTACAGAAAGTGCGTTCGACAGATATTGTAGTACCAGCCAGAGACTTGAATGCACAGGTCGAGAGTCTAGGCACAAGAGGGAGTCGTTTAGGTGGCTGACGGCGACCTGCTGGTCTCAAATCAGATAACGGGAAACGTCTACTGCAACTATGCACAGACCACAACTTGTCTCTGGTTACCACTAACTACTTGCACAGTCATCGCCGATGTGCCACCTGGCCTCTTCCTCCCTCTGCATCTTAAGCCTGGACTCAAATAGATCACATATCGATCAGCTACCACTGGAGTGGTTGTGTACATGACTTCCACTCCTTTTGGAGTACCTATCTGGACTCTAATCATGCCCTGGTCTGTGCCAATCTTGCCTTACCTTTCAGTGACCAACAAATTGATTGTCATCAACGGATTGATGTCAGCAAATTGGTTGCAACTTCTGTTGGAAGAAAGTATCGAACCAAGCTAGGTTCAAGGCTAGCTACCATTCCATCGAAAAGTATAAATGAACATTAGTGGCAATTGCATGAAGCCATGAAAATGGAGATTAAAGTCGCTTGCGGCTTCACCACAAGTTACCGGACCAAATGAACTTACATCTGGCTCATTATAAAGATGGTGGATACTGAGTTGTTGACAAAGGTCTGGCTATTAGAGAGTGCTTCAACGTCGTGAGATGATTCGATAGTTGACCCTATCTTTAAAAAGGGTTAACATCATTTCTGCAACGACTATTATTATTATTATTTAAACACATAAACATTAGTACAAGGAAACATCAAATAGATATGCGCCACATAAATCATTCGATTTTTGTGAGGGTTAGAATACTATCCAGGTGCCCAAACCGAAGCAGGTGGTTTTCTTAGGGGGTGACACTAGGAGCCTCTGACCTAAAGGTCTGATCCACGAGGTAGTGGAACAACATCAGGAGATGCAGTCCCATGGTATTCGGTGACCAACGATTGGTTCAAACGCCATTTGTTCCCTCAGGATCTATAACGCATCGGTGAGAGCGATTTTGCTCTGTGCTTGTGAAACCTGGTCTCTCCGAGTTGAAGATGTTAGACGACTCTCTGTCTTTGATCATCGTTGTCTCCGAAAAATTGCTGACATTCAGTAGCAACACTGATATATCTGAAGCGTTACGAATTCACTAGTAACGAACGGAACAAAGACACGTGACCAGAGACCGATAACTAGCTATACTGGTAGTGTCATGCTGCAGATTAACTAGACGTTGATATTCGTTAGCAATATCATTTAGAGTCAGCTTAGGGTCTTGATCCAATCGACTGAGCAACCGTGTTCTAATGTCACCGAACTTTTGCGATTGGAGGCTGCAGATGAGAATGAGGGCTTTAAACTGATCTTCAGTTAGCGACTTCAACCGAAAGCGTTCGCATTCGCGGTTGACAATGCCCACATGCGTCAGAAAATCGGTGTCTTCGTTCATAGTCAGCTTCAAACATCGATAGCGTGTGTTGAACAGTGAGGAATTATCTCCAAACTGTTGGCTCAATGACTGAACAGTGTCTGAGAATGAGCGATCGCGTGGGTTTAGAGGCAAAATTAGGTTACAATATTTATCAACTTCACTAGGACCCAGCTTTCGAAGCAGCAAACGGACTTTCCAAGCATCATCTTGATTGGCAAAATCAAATCTGAATAAATCTTCATAACGGCGGAACCACATATCAAACGTAACATTAGATTCAGGATCGTAATGAAACTCAGAAATACTGCTGGCCATACCATCAACTGAAGGTGCAGTAGTGGTAGGATTAGAGCTGCTTGATTGGCTATTAGTCGTAATTTTTGTTTCTGTTAACATCTTGATAAGTTTCATCTGCTATTCGAGCAATGATTCCACTTTTGCAGGATCCATATTTCCAAATCACCGTCGCCAATTGATATATCTGAAGCGTTACGAATTCACTAGTAACGAACGGAACAAAGACACGTGACCAGAGACCGATAACTAGCTATACTGACGCGACCCTGTTATGCCTGAAACTAAATCGATTCCGCGGTAACGAACGAAAGCCAATGACACGATAAGCTATTCTAATCTGTTGTCCCAGGCCCCGCTAACTAGATGAAGAAGTCCAAGGCAAGTAGGGGAATATATATGTATTCCGTAAGCAGCCGAGTACAAGCAATCGAATAAGGGAAAAAGTCAAGCGCATTTATACAACAACAATTTGTCCTTGAGCATCATTGGTAAATAGCACACACAAAGAAACAATGGACCAATAGCGTTTAAGACAGTTTACAAGTGGGAGATATGACGTGAAGGTAAAAAGAGCGCGTTTGGCGCGGAAACAGCAAGTAAGTTCTGGGGATTTGACATCCCCAACAGACCCAGACCCAGCTAACTAGAGTAAGAAGTCCAAGTTGGAGCGGGGAAGTTATATTCCGTAGCAGCCAGAAGCACAGTAATCAAATAAGGAAAAAGTCAAGCGTATTTATACAGTAACGAAATGTCCTTGGGCATCGTTAATAATTAGCACACACAAAGAAACAATGGACCAATAGCGTTTAAGATAGTTACAAGTGGGAAATATGATGTGAAGGTAATAATAGCACGTTTTGGCGCGAAAACAGCTAAATTCAAATTTCAAAAATAAAATTACAAAATTGAGCCACTTATCAAGTAAGTTCTGGGGATTTGACATCCCCAACAAACACCATGTTAGTAATGCACAGGTTCGGCATCGTGTGTTCGGGCACAGCGATGATAATTCAATTGGTGTCACTATCTTAAAAATATCGACTTCGGTGGTTTGGTCAAGTTCTACGACTGCGGTCTCAGAGACTTCCGCGTCGTGCACTATTTGTCGACGCTGGGAGTGGTTGGAAAATGCAGAGAGGTGATCAGTGTATGACATGGTGTCGTGTTATGGAGGAAAGCTGTAAGAAACTGGCTTCTGTTGGTTCTTCATGACTCCCTGGTTGGGATCGTAGAAATGGTGCAACACAGTGGTTCAAAATAGAAGCCAGTGGCGATCCTGGTGTAACTTTCTTTTGCTTGATAAAAAGTGGATGTAACTTTAACTGAAAAAGTTCTTTCTGGTTATACCTTTGCGAACTGAATCGCCCCTCCCATTATTACTATTTCACTATTATAGACTAATTTCTGTTCGTTATTTTTCTCCTTTTTTTATACGCAATTTACATTCTCTGTCTCATCTCATCTTCATTGTTATTGTGTGCTGCATATGTATTTGGTGCCCCCTTTGTACTAATATTTATGTGTTCAAATAATAAAAATCTTCTTATAATTCGTCTTTTCCAAACCTAATCTTTCCTATTGCAACAACAATTATTATTATTGCCGATACTGTTGTTACTTTTACTAAGCTGGGATTTGTTTTGAAATAATTTTATCGCATTGTCCCAAAGACGTATGACAACTTGAACCGAAGTACTCATATACGATGTTCTACGTTGCGTATGACTAAGTGATTGACTGAGACATGACAATTTTTTTAGTGACAGTTTAAACGATTTACTGTAGATGTTAAGTTGTTAATAATAGAAATAGTAAGGGTTTATGATACAAATATTTTAGGACCTATGGTTTTACAACACAGGAAAATTCACTAAAAGCAATACAGAAATTAAGTACAGTCTCATGCGTTTATAAGTAAGGGTCAATGACAACATATCACAGTTTACTTATCGAAAAATAGAGTAGGTTTAAAACGCTATGGTCCACTAATTCACAGTTGGATTATTAAGGAATCCTAAATGGTAGACGCAGATACATCTAGCTGATAGTACTACTGATTCAGGCAGTTGGCCTCCAAATATACGATTGAATATATTAGAACCGCTCGTAATTTGACAACATTTGAGTAGTTAATCAGTAGAGTTAGGAGTTATGGCAGATATATCTCATTCGATTACTTGACTAAACTCATATTCTTTGTATTATAGCAAGCGACTGCACGCTAGAAATTGTCCCCCCCAAAAGATCATATCACTGAGTCATAATCAACACAGAGCCCGTAACAAATATGCGTTGGTCCAAGTTGTTAAACCATATCGACACAGTGAGATGAAATTAACAAAACAAATATTGAAATCACGTTACAATAAATTTTCTGAATCTTAATTACTAATTCAACTGGTTCAAACTCAAATGCCAAGACAATTATTTCGTAAAACTCAGATGGAATGTATTTCATTTGTAATGGTAAAAGACAAAACAAAATTTACACGGGAACACACCGATACAGTGATTATTTTTTGTTACTTTCACTTACCTTGCACAACTAGCGAAGAAAAACTCGATTTCTCGATGACCATCTGCGCCACTCAAAAAATGTGTCACCTGTTCCATTGACGAATCTCCTAATTCAACATGCCCATCATTGGATAACGGTCGAACATTATATTTATTTTTAGAAGCTTTAATATGATTAATAAATAAACAAAAAGGAATAATAAGATGAGCAATAAGGTTAACAGAGGAATAGAAAAGATCTTCGAAACCGACATTACATTAACCAACTGAATTTGCCAGGTAAACACTAATAATGAAGTAGAATTAGGGCGCTCAGTGCTTTATATAATGAGGGTTTGTGGCCCTATTAACACGTGACGTGACGATGCCACCAATTACAGAGTAGTGAAATTATCGATCAGACCGATGACACACAAAACCTGTACGAGCAGTCTAGAGTACTTATCGGTCCTGCTCCCTGCATAGCCCAGCCAGTTAAGTCCACAACACCAATAACAGCCTCTACAGTATGAATCATTATATTGCAAACATACTGAGTTTATATACCAAACAGATCACATCGTACCATAAAATAGGAAACAACATTTGTACAAGATTCAGTCAAATAAGGCTGTGACTAAAGGAGATAGTAATTGATAGACAGGGAATAACTCAAGAATGGTAAATCGTATAACAACAGTTCATAGGTCAAAGTAAAGCTCTTAATAAGAGGGACATGAATATGAATAGTTTTGTTATTTTACAATTATACGATAAAAATATACGCATAGTATTGGTCCACAAATGGATCCCAAAAGTTACCTTTCATTATTCTTATCGGAATATAACACTCAGAAATTACGATGTGAATAGAATCTAAACTGATAAGCATAAACCGACTTATTCAGTGGTTGACACTCAAATACTTGGGACATTATCCGATATCTTTTTATTCGTGAGTCATTTTCGAAAACAGAGTCAGGTGGTTATCAGATAACTATAAAATATCCAAAGACCAACACAGTAATTGACTAATTCCCAGTACGTGAAACAATATTCAAAACTGTGATAATGAGATCATAAGCATACTGAATAACTCATTGAGCCAAAGGTTAAGATTAAAAAACTGGTTGACACAAAAAAAGAAATACACACCCGCGAATGAGATCGCAGATTTATTTAATATTTACGATAAATTGAGGGGAAAGGTATTAGATCATAAAGCTTAATCCAACTTGCCAATGACTACACGGACTGATAACATGACTTATTTGGTTGCCTGTAGATTCCCTTCACCCTAGTGACTAATGGTTAGCAATACTATAAACAAATAACTAACCGTGATATTTTTGTTTTATAGATAACATGTATAATAAAAAAACAACCTAAATCAACGTTACTGGGCACCTTGAATAACAATGTAGGCACATTTGGATAACATTTATCTCTCTCCAAATGTAAAATGTTTCTTCACAACTGGTCTGCGTCGACACTTGATCTAGTGATAGGAAGTGAAGTAGTTGAACAAGTTAACCAATTCACTTATCTCGAAGATCTGACCGAGTTGGCGTCTGACAAAATCCCGCCACTGGTTCAAAAAGCCCAGTTGGTGTTTGCCAAATTCAGTCATTTATAGTGTAAGTGAGATGTCCGTCCGCCAATCACAGGGCATGTCTATCACGTAGCAGCCCTTTCTGTCATATCTCATATCTGTGAAAAATGGTCTATGGAATTGAAGACATGCGTAGACTGGATGTTTTTAATCATATGTACTCCTAACTTATCGCGAACCGACGAAGTGAGTATTGTTGAGGTTATGGACAGAATATCTAGCGAAGATGTCGAATTAGTTGATGGGGTAGTGAATCTTCATCGACTGAGGTGTTCGATGCATATGTTTCGTACGTTTAACCACTGCCTATCCCGACGAGCGACTCTTGATAGTACGAAAATAGGTTGTAATATAGCAATAAGGGGCTGAACCGGAACATGCTACCAGTCCATGAAGTCTCTGTCTGTTGGTCTGAGCCGTGTTGGCAGGTGCAGACTACTGGGGTCCGTGGGATAATCGTGACTAGTGATTGGAAACGTTAGATAACGGCTCAAAATCGTTCACTATTGTCCAGATGCGCTCACTCTTTATCTTCTTCATCCTGAATGATGGTATGCACTTAATCATTTTGAGATGTAATATGCCTCTGACGATTAAAAAACCTGGCCATATTATCCTACTATTCAGAAGTGAGTTGGATAGCTTTGCATTGAAACAAAGGCCTAAATCGGTTATCTGCAAAACACAGTGTGCAGCTACAGTCCTGATTATTGAAAAATAACTATTCTCATGATTCAGCAAAAACCTAAGCAGCAAATAAACATTTGTCACATCCTACCGTTTTACAAATCAACAAGTGTTTGTGGTTCAACATACATAGGAAGGAATAGTAGTGCTTTACAAACTAAAGTGGTTGGACATGTACCAAGATAGCTGCAAAAAACGAACGAGACCTGTGGCTATACGTAGATTCAAACCCCCTAAGTTCGAAAAATATTTGTTGAGACTACCATGGACAGCATTGATTTATTAGCCATAATTTCATGATTCATATTGCGTTTCTCATCGCTCAATCTGTCACGTTTGACTGTAATCTCTTAAACCCGTAAGTGTCAAAATAAGTTAACGTGTTGTCACTTTGTCCGACATGCGACAAAGTTTAGATAAACTTCGTGTTTCACAATTGATTGATCACTGGGTGGTGATCAATCTCATGCGTGTCAGGTCCTTCTTAGTGCTGATCGAATGCTATCGATCGAGTTGCAATGTGACCACCAGTCTAGGTGGCTCGACACTGCTTGCACTATGTATATTGAGGTAAGATGGTGGTTGGAGGTGGTCAACAGGAAACCCTGGACCCGGGTTTCGTGCTACTTGGCACTCGTCAGCAAGGTGTACCTGTAATCCTGAGGGAACTGATGCTCCCTGGCGGATTCGATCCCGCGTCACTCAGCTTCATAGTCAGAGACGTTACCACTGAGCTATTCGGGCCGCGACCAACCTCCTGTAGGACTGAGATGTAATCACAATTGATTGATCACTGGGTGGTGGGCGGGATCGAATCCGCC